TGAAGTACAACGAGTGTGGCAAGCCAAGGAAGCTTCCAAGAAGGTTGCCAAAGATTTGTCTGGCTGATGTTTTGCCATCCAAAAATGGTAATCAAAACCCACAAAGTAAACTAAAATAAAAAGAAAAAGTAAAATTTAACATTATATATTGCCCTCATTGTTTGGGCTATGGTTTGAAAATAGATTATTAATGGACCGAGCCATGGCCATTCCACAGACTGGACGGTCCGGTCTTACTTTTAAAGATATTAAGGCCCATCAGTTTTGCAATATTTTTTATGATTTTTTTTTATAATTTGGATAGAGAATATTCAAACTCTATTCTTTAGACAGAGAGATCATATACTAATCAATAAACTAAATGCTCGAATGTAGTAATATTTTATATGATTCAATTAAAAAAATCTTAATAAAATAATATCCTTAAATGTCATTGAATTATGTTTTTTTTCATCCTTAAATTTTTGTCTTTCTTTTATGAAAAAAGTTTTTACTTAATGTATTATAATATTAATTTCCTTTAAAAAATTATAATATTTAATATTTTTAATATAAAAAAATAAAATCCTGAAAATTAAATTTACAATATAAATAAAGTAAAAATATTACGTGTTTAAAAAAATTTCATTAGGGATATTTAGGATTGCAAGATTTAATTTTGAATCCCATGTGTATGTTTGAATAATTTTCTAATTAAGAATAATATATTATTATAAGATTTTCTCTATTTTTTTGAATTTTAAATAATTTTCTCACTTAAAGAAAACTAGAGGAAAAAAACTTAAGATTATATAAAGAAATTTGAAAAAAAAATTATTATGTTTAATCAATTTATTTATATTAAGTAAAAATTTTAAATGATTTTTATATTTAAAAAAACTCGAATGAAACAAAAGACAAATATGTAATTGACCAAAACTTAACTCTAATCTTGTACTATATTAAATTTTATAAATATATCACATATTGAGACTTAAGTCTAAATTCGTACGGCTTTAAACTTTCAAAATAAATTTTAAATACATAATAGAGATGGACAAATTGTGCTTAATCATTGGGGTGACTGGCGCCACATTAAATACATAACCAAAGAAGAATTTATTCTCATCAATTGAGCATATTTATAAAGGCAAGAGGGACTACAGTCAGCTGGAAGAACTCGTCGTTCTCCTTTGTCAATGGCGACACCAACCCTTCCCTCTCCTTAAACCCATCTTCACAGGTCACCGGAGCATCCAGGGCTGCGCTTATGACCGTTTTAGCCGTTCCATAATCTTTAGACTCGACAGCCTGGCCACCAGTTTCTAGACTAGGTTGTGCGTCAGAATAAAGTTCAGCGCAATCTTCCAAGCAGCTCCTCGTGAACTTGTCAAGGTTTTTGTTCTCCAAAAGCTTGGAAATGATAGAGCTGATGCTTGTTGCATTAGATATGGCCATCTCAATCGAGATGGGAACCAAACTCTCAGTGCTGGCGGCGGTTTTGCTTTTGGGATTCCCTTCCAGACTTGCAACACAAAAGTCAAAGTTTATGTTGCGGTCTCCCTTTGCAGCCTTGTCGCAAGAATCTTGGATGACATCCGACCTTGCCGAGACAAGCAAGAGAAAGAAGAAAGCGATAAAAGTGCAGACAGAAGGGAAGGAATTCTCCATCTTTGACGAAAATGAAAGCTTGAAATGACTCTTATATAGAAAAAAAATTACACGGTATTTTGTTAGTGTCGAGGCTCTCATTCGATATCAATGGAAACTTATTTATGAGGAAAATCGGTCATTTATGGTATTGTGGCAGTCTGTTGCGATTCTTGTTCTTTTTTGTGTCCAGGATACGTCAGTGGCAGAACTTTTCCATCCAGGGAATAATAGCAAGAAATCCTTGTGTATTTGAGCTGACCGATATGGACCATTTTTAGTAAGTGAAACGTACAGATCACAAGGATTGCTTTTTGGGTTTGCAATTAACCAACAAAAAACCAGGCTTGATAGTTTCATTTCAACACGTGTGAATGTCAACTCCTTTGGTCTTTTACTACGAAATCCTGACCAACTCCCATGAGTCATCTTGAGTAACTATGTATATGACACAAAATTAAGGTTTCTGTACCAACAAATCACTTCGTTGATTCAATGCCAAGTTATATTCTTTCATTCTGACAAAGTTAACTAATTCGAGCAATGCAAATTCCTTCAACAAATCTTCTTGTGTGTGAACTAATGGAGATCGGGGGAGGTGATCATTCAAGAAGAGTAGAAGGGCAACAAACCCCAGCACGGGAGTGGCACCGATGGATGGGGACTCAGCCTCGATGACATAGGAAATTTCTAATCTTCACTCTTGTGCAAACTTTCCTATTTTCATACTTTCCTATTCTCATACATGTACAAAGTTAGGTGGGTTGCAATGCATTTCATAAAACAATGTTTAATTTAATACGTACCTAGTTGTTACTTCCCGCAAACAACCATTCACTCGAAAAGCAATGTTTCTAACCTCACTTAAATGAAGAATATAAGAGAAGAACTGATTTTGCTATAATTATGATAATTATACAAAATAAATCAATAATTTTATTAGATTATGATATTATTAGTGATACAGTTAGATTATAATTTAATTTTTTATATTGTTCACAATTAAGAATACAAGATTTTCTTTCCTTTTTTAATAAAACTATATCATTCAATCTAACATAATTATATCATAATTTGATTATAACATAATTTAATAGAATCATATTGATTTAATTTATAATTTGTACTATAATTATATTAAAAGTCTTTTACTTTTTAGATATTGTACGTTATCATTTTTTTGGATGATTTTTTTTAACTCACCAAAAAATAGTTAAAAGTTGTTTATATATAAAACTTGCTACATTTAATTGGATTGGCATTAAGAAAATTTTGCCTCCAAAAGCTTTTTGCATGCGTCATCACTTCGAACACCGAAGAAACTCTACTCTATGTATGGGGGATGGTGACACTGGTGCATTTTATGATCTTAGCTGAATTATCTATCTTTGGTAGAAAACAACTGAAATCTTGTTCCTTTGTGGCACCGTACTAAAATTAGGTCCCATTTGCTTGCACGGCGCTACGACCTTGAACTTTGGAAAACATGGCATTTGTAATTTGATTTGCACATTTTGACTTCGTTGAAACGGCATCTACGTGCCATAGCTCATGCGCTATTGCCGGAATTTTCGCCTAAGATGATGCTATTGCGTATTTGACGAACCATGTTCCATGGACTAAGTCGATGGGCCAGCCTCCAATAGGTCCGAATGGATTACCACCCAGACACACGAGAAAAGGACCGTGGGTCGTGAGACTCGTGACCTTTTCCCTCGTGCTTTCCGAGCCGATCCATCAACCTTCGTGCATCCAGGTCGATCCCCGACCTGATAAAAAAGGACAAAACATAGCTACACAAAAAATAAACTTTGTTCGGCTATGGCAAGCGGTAACCATCCACGGCAGAGACACATCAGTGCCCTGCCGGTGGCACAAGTGTCAGCTTCTCTGCTACGTGTCTTCATCCCAAGTTTGCAACAGTGAAGAGGCTAACAATACATATACCCCATAGCTGAAACAGAAAAAGTAGTCTGAATAAAGGTATGCTATTGCACAACGAGGGGCATTAATTAATCAGTAGGAAGATCAATAACTCGCCATGTCGACTCCTTCCATGGTGGATCCCCATGAG